GGGGGGGGGGGGGGCGTTGGTTGAAGGAACGTACTGCTGTACACAAGCACACGTGGAACGGCTCCGGCGGCAACTGCTGCCGTAGACTAAAACTGCCTTTTGCGGTTGTGAATTCAAATACCAGTGTAGTCTAACGCGTTTCGTGATACGGGTACCATATGAGCAGCAGTTGTATGCATAGACTATATGTTTGACCAATAACCAGAAACGGGTATACCCGGGTACTTTATCACCACATTAGGGTATAGTTAGAAATCAACACGCTTGCACCCCCAGGCTGTCAGCTGAATGGCCGAAAAAACATTGCATCCATTTCTGAAGAAACCTCCATCGGGTACAACTTCCGCTGGAATTAGGGTCCTCTGGTGTGACCGATATTGGTTACTGGTGTACCAGGAAGAGGTCAATCTTGTACCCAGAAATGATCATATAATCCCGGCGCCCGACGCTCTACCATAAAACCCGCAGAAAAAAACGTGTACCTACTGCACATACCGTGTACCGCACATACATGACCACAGCCAAACCACCAACAACGCTCGCTCGTTCATCGTTCATGGGCACCGCCTCCATAGGATACCGGGCCTTCTGAACAGAGGGTCAGACTCGCTTGACGCGCGAGTGGTTCGGTGTGGTACTGATCAGTAAAAGCACAGAGAGAGAGAGGCACAGAGAGAGAGAAAAACGGGAACGGCCTGCCTCGTGCATCATGCTTCCGAGGCACAGGACATACAGGACACAGACAGCGGTTTTTTGGTTTCGCCGCGATTTTCGGCGGATGCTGTTGGAGACTGGTGTCGCCTTGAGTTCCAAGCGTACCCTGAAATGGTAATAATCTATCCGGGTATACCCGTTTTTGGTCACTTCTCTACATGCTTCACCAGCACACCAATTCGTAGAGCCGCATTGCAAGCTCTCACCTCGCAAAACATGCACCCTCTCTACCACACAGGAAGAGAGTCCCCCCCCGTCTCTCTCTCCCCAGCGGTGCTCACCATGCGTCGGCTTCATCCGTCGGCTGCCGTGGATGTTTGGTTGACCCTCGAGGCGGCGGCGGCCCACCGCCGTTCCATCCCCACGATGGCTGCTCTCCAGCTGTCAAGGAACAAGCCGAGACCAGGACTAGCAGCAGCGCGGTGGCGCCACCACGCCCGCAACTTACCCCAGCTGAACGCATGGTTGCGTATTTGGTGTACCTGGCCAGCTCGTCTCCAGCTCCAGGAGGGGCTCCGTGGAATATACAATCTTCCACCCCGGGGGTCATTTTGGGAGTGAGCGGCAGCGGCAGCGGAGCCGCAGCCGCAGCGCGGCCCACGGTCTGTCGGTGCCAGCTGTGGTGTGCGTCTTGTACCATCCAAGCATGGAAGCCAACAACGAAGCAGGCCAGCTGACTGCTGTGTTGCAGTCGCCCATCGCCAGCAAGCTGGCAGACAGGTCCTGCTGCTGCCACCGCCGAAGACAGAGGAAGCGGACAGCAGCAGTGTACAGACGAGCCGCGACGTGGCTACCTGCCACGGCCGTTGTTGCACTGCTGCTATTGATCGTCCGCTCCTCGCCCGGGGCAGAGGCCGCCGGGTCCTGGGGGCTGGGGGGCGGGAGAGCGGGGCGCGGCTTTCCAGTCGGGTCGGATGGCCCAGATGATGACGATATGGCTGAGGTTTTCGCGAAGTTCCAGGAGGAGCAGGTATACACACACTACGCAGGCCGTGTAACCAGCGCGCCAGCAGTCGCGCCCACGAAGCACTGACTGCTGTTTGTACGTACGTCCTGAGCAGCAGCAGCAGCAGCAGCAGCAGCAGCTCGTCGTTGTCTGTCGATCATTGTGCTGCTGTGCTCTCTTCCTAAAGAGGGAAAGATTTGACGCTGTGGTGTTACAAAAGGGCGAGGACGCTCATACACTACATACATGCACGGCCCGCAGAACAGCGATCGATGTATGATATCAGCCTAATATATGTATTTTTCTAAATTCAACCAGCAACTACTGTCAACATGACATATTGCGCCGTGTTCCCTGTGCAGGCCACATGTAAATGTACCTACGCAGATGTTTTTGTGCTAAGCACCAACTGGTATCACTGATATAAATCATCAGTGTATAGGCTTAAACAAACTCGAAATAAGTCAAGTACCCAGCTGGTTTTCCTCTACTCACTGTAAAGACTTCAACACATCCCCTTCGAGTGTAGTTATACCTCGAACGGGTAGTCTTTCTGTGTGTATATTTGTTTCTCCTAATATGCTGTCTGGGAAATCGTAGACACACAGGTAGTTTTCTCTGACGCTATGATTCCATTGTTAATCTGTCTCTGACTCTTTTTCTATGATAGAGATGGACTCGTTGCGTCATATTAAGAAAAATAAATAAATAAATAAAGAGATAATAAATGCTGCCATTGCGGTCCGTTGTCGCTAAAGTTAAAGCGTACCATATGGTAAACATTACTGTAGTCTAGAACCAAGTATCATTTTTGGACCGCCCAATGAGGGGACCGATTGGATACGTTCGGGTTGAGGTCATTGAGAGTGCCTCCGGCGTGATGGACCTTTCGCTGCCAACACCAACATGTATTTTGTGTACGAAAACGTCGAGACTTTGAGACGCCCGTGTATTGTACTGGGCCCTCCATAGTGCAGGTTGAATAGTGCAGGTGCCCGATATAGTGCAGGTAAAATCTCTTGACACAGAGAGCGCCCTCAATAGTGCAGGTTGGACACACACACGCAAAAACGACAGTGAGAACGATGGAGTTGGAAGGAAGGAGGATGGCGGTGAAAGCACTCCAAAACGTGCAAGGTAGCGAGCGGCCTTCATCGACACATGCAGTTTTTTCCATTTGCTACCGTTTCTGTCTTTGATCCGGATAATAGCATAGTCTCCCCCAAGCCGCCCCCTCACGGGGTCCCAGTTCATGTCAGATAGAAGTGTTTTGCGTTTTCAACCGCACTAAGACTGACGTCTTTTCATTGGTCAGCCGGTTAGCGCGGTCGATGCTAATAATAAGAACACATACGGACAAGACAGCGGACAGACCCAACACAAAAACCACGGTACATGTGCTGCTGCAGACCCGAAGAGCTCTACACAGAGACGCACCATGCCTTGTGCGGACGGTGAACTGTGCCATCAACAAGACAGAACGCCGCAAGCCCTCATGGCCACGTCTGCAAGGGAGGGTGTGGCGGGCGGCTCCACGGCAATTGCGGCAGCATGTTCGAGGACGACGAAAAGCACCGCATCTGCAGCAAGTGCGTCGCCAAGCAAGCGCAAAGCGACACAACCAGCCGAGGGTGCTGGGGCGGGATTATCTAAACGCCCGAAGAATACGAAGGGGGGATTAAGAAGGTTCTGGTTCTCGTGCGAGGCCGGACAACAACACGAAGCTTGAGATTCTCAAGTTGATGTATGCGACATGAGAGAATTTTTCGCCACGTAGTGAGGGCGGGGGGTACAGTTGTAGCAGTAGTGGTTGTTTGTTTTCTTGTAGTGCGCTTCCTGGCGTGTTTTATACATATGTATATATTGCAACATCGAACGAGGGCAGCGAGGACTGAGAAATAGCTTCGTCCCCTAAGGGTTCATGTTGAAGGATTGGTTCGTGCGACAGTTCACGGTGTGCAGTACAGTACGAGTGTTGAGGCAGGAAGAAAGTAACGGCGCAACTTGCAAGAAAGTTGTCTGTAACATCTCTGTGTGTGCGACAGCAGGGGACCACACGCGTCGCGGGACAGTCTGTTGAGGCCCACGCTAGAACAGGGCCCAGCACTACTGTAATTCGATGAAATTCGTACTCTGTTAGCCCCGCAAAGCATGAGCGCCACACCTTGAAATTAAACATCTCCTCAATAGTGCCGGACCTGCACTATTGAGGGATATTCGAAACCTCAATGGTGCCGAACCTTCACTCTTATCGCATTATTCTGATTAGTGCAGGTGCCCGCTAGTGCAGGTAAAGTTTCTGGACACACTCCTCCACTATAGAGGGCCCAGTACTGTAGCATAAACGGACATCTTGAACAACTCTGTTGAGGACACAAGGCTACCGTCAGAGACAGGAGCCGGTGCCGTTGCAGTGTTCCCCTACTGCCAAGGGTGGCTATTTCCTTTCGTGAGACGTAACGAGGAGAGAGGTAGAAAGAGTGACCAGCAGAGGGTAGAGGAAGGAGAGTCGTAGACTTTTCGCCTCCACTCTCGGCAGGTGATCGTTCGCAACCGTACTGCTAAGTGCCGTAGGAGGAGAATTCATCTGGGTAATCCGTTCCGCAGAGGTCGGAGTCAGGGTGGAGGTTGTGTCGGAGCGAGGTTGGAGTGGCGACACCAGCCACGAAGGTGAAGTGGAGCATTCCTTCCAGTGCTGAGCAAGTAACTCGGTAAACTGCTCGCCGGATGACCTCATGAGCAGCCCTCGCCAGACGATCGACAGAGTAGACTCTCCGTTCCTCTACCCTCTGCTGGTGACTCTTTCTACCTCGCTCCTCATTGCGTCTCACACAAGGAAACAACCACCCTTGGCAGTAGGGGAACATTGCAGCGGCACCGGCTCCTCTTTTCGCCCAAGGAAAAAAACGAAACTCCAAAATGTCAAGAAATGATAGCCGCATACCGAATCCGTTGTGGTTTGGACATGTGCCGCCTGATAAATCTTTGTCTCGTACCCCAGCTGAACAGGGAGATCCAAAATCGCCCAGTAAAACCAGGAAACGAAAACAAAACAGGTATCGAATCCTCCTGAAGAATCTTCACCTCGAAAATTGGTTGCGCAAAATGACGCTGAACCACCTAATAGCAAAACCAACTAATGACGGAGGATTCCTCAAAGGAATCGACATTACCCCAGTCGCGTTCCTGCTATGGACCAAGGTGATATTACATTGCGTGTGCTCTGTATACAAGGTCGGATTCAGGGCCGTATTCCCGACGACGCGAACGATAGTTGTAGTTGTACGGGGTTTTCCGCCCCGTACCACTTTATGGCTCACCACTTTGTCAAATACGTAGGACTCAATTTTCGGTTGAGCTTCGTCGGTATGGTCTATTTTGCTCGGGCAACGGAATCTGGCGTCCTAAGAAAAACTCGAGGAAAGTTTATCAAAGTCCGACGCCGGTGGCGTCCTCCTCGCACAATACTGGCGCAATACTGTTTAGTGTGGGCTAAATGGACCGAAACTTCTCCGCCTCCACTCTCGGCAGGTGGTCAAAGACGATGGAAGAGACAGATGTCAACGATGTGTTACTTGTGACTATCCCGATGGCAAGTTACCCCGATGGATTGTATCCTCCTGTACTTTGTGTGTGCACAAATGGTTGGCTGGTTATACTCCCGATAGGTGTCCTCCACACTGTAGGCACATTCACAGCAGTCAAAGAGGTACACTGCTGTGAGCCAAGAAGTAGTTTACAGAACCGCTCGTATCGGACGCCGCACCGGGCGCGCGACCACCCCACCGTCTTCCCCCGGTTTTTTTGTCTGTTTCTTTACGCAACGCACGACGTGTGCTCAGTTTTGGGAGGACGTCGAATATGCCGGCATGGAGGTGCTGGAAGAGGAGGTCGCTGAGAAGAAAACGAAGGAGATATTTGCGCAAGTCGCCAGGGCTTGTTCAGTCGGGGCACAGATGACCCTCATCATGGGCGGAGGGGCTCTCTTGTTCAGGTGCACGGCGCTGGCTTGCCACCAAGGATATTTCAAACTCGTGTGGTGTAACGGTTTGCGTGTCCTCAAAAGGTACTGGCACGATCTTTTCAAAAGTAGTATTGAATCCTCTGAGATGTCCGCACTCCATGGAAGCAGTAGAAGGGCAGGCTCTTATATCTGTTGCCTAACTTGTCTATTGCGAATGCACTGACGCGCACATTGTGTAGCCTCTCTACCAGTACCGTCTATAGCTTCAATGAGTTATGCTCACCCTTTTCTGTCTTTTGCTCTTGCCCTGCGTCTCATTCGATTCTCCTCTTCGCTGTAGCCCGAAGCAAAAAGCCTAAGAACCGTCCTCTCCCCCTATCGAGAAGCTCTACAATATGACCTATCTCCCCCACCGGGGAACGATGTATCCACTGGCGGCAGGCTGCTCCCGGTCCTGCTAGGCCACGACCTAGACGACGACGAAGGAGACGACGCAAACACCCCTTACCTGTTGCAGCTGGACGACCACCGACCGCAGCAGGCCTCGCTGGACGCCGCGAGAGGCCGCCGGCAACCGCTCTTGACCAGCGTCCCGAACGAGGATGCGGCGGTGCGATTGCACGGGGAGGAGACAGAGGGCGACGGGACTGCCGTTGTTGTAGGTTTGGCGGCGGCAGAGGGGGAGGGGGGAGGCGGCGGTGGGGCCTTGGTAGCGGAGGCGGGCGGGGGAGTTATCGTGGCGACGAGAGACGGCGCGGAGGAGGAAGAGGAGGGGGAGGAGGTCGGCGATGTCGACGTTGTCGTTGAGACTCGGTTGGTGAGTGAATGGACTCGGTGTCTTCCGACGCCGTGCCACCATGCCCATCCTTATCGAGCAGGCGGCTCCTCTTGCGGCAGCAGCGAGCTCGTTCTTGTCGGTGAAGAATCCTACTGTAGCACCAGGCCGAGGGTAGCAGACGCACGTGTGATGAGGTTGTCCTCCCCAAGCCTTGCATCGTGAAGAACTTGTCGGTGTCTTTCATGTGGCGGTATTCATACGTGCCGTTCTTGGCACTAGCAATGCGCAACGACACGCGTACCTTCCGGTCGCGGTGCTCTTCATGACCTCCTGCGCCGAAGCACGAAAGCACGTTTTCCCCTTCCTTTTCTGGATGATTTGTTGCTGCGTGGCTGATGGTATGTTGGAAGGGCGTGCACCGTCGAAACGACACCAAAGGGTCTCCACACCGACCCCCCCCCCGAAGGCAGACGTTCACAATATTTTTGAGGGGAACAACTCGGTTCTTCCATCAAGCCTGTGTTTGCCTGAGCCGGTTGGTCTTGCGTCTTTCCTTCTGTTTGGTGGCAACTGGCTTACCTGCCTGACGTGCCTCTATCGCCTTCTCTTTAGTTTCGTGGTACATAACTGACTTACCGGTCTGCATTCGTCCGTCCGTCCGTCCGTCCACACGTCCTTCTCTTGATCCTGCCTATGATAGCGAGTTTCCCTCAGAAAGGCTAGGCGGTTGTCTCGGCCCTTCCTGAAGGCCATGGCGCCCCCACTGGCCCTGCTGCTGGTGGCGCGCTTGGCGCTGGGGACCGTGTTGGCGAGGAGGATAGACCCGACGCTCGAGCTTCTCTTTGGCGACGACGTAATGGACTTGTGAGTGTTCTTGTTCGCTCTCTCTCTCTCTCTCTCTCTCTCTCTCTCTCTCTCTCTNTCCCGACTCCTCTTCCCACCCCCATCGCTCCGTCCCGGCATTGTAGGGATGCGAGCTACGGCATGCGTTTTCATTAGGACACCAACCCATCCCCCTTCTCTTTTTCCCACCTTTCTCTCTCTCTCTCTCTCTCTCTCTCTCTCTCTCTCTCTCTCTCTCTTTATCTCTCTCTTTGGATTGTTTTTGTTTTTGTGCTTTTGTTGTCGCCATCCTTCACGTACAGCGCTTGGACGAGTTGTACGCTAGTACCAGCCCCAAAAGTGCATCAATCCAAGGACGGGGAGATGCAACGAAGGCTTGACAACAAGGGAAGCATAGAGAGAGAAGCGGCTATTCTCCGCGTTGCCATCCACTTGTTGTTTGTTTTGCACGCGTTTTTCTTTTCCTCTCACGGCCGTCCCCCCCTGTCTTGGGTGGTGGCCGCGCTGCCTGCCAACCAGGTACTCTACCAACAAGAAGGTGATAAACAAGGTCGACATGCCGTTCGCCAAGGACGCACAAGACGTGCCGGGACGGAAGAAAATGAAGGGGAAGGGGGTGCAGCGACAACCGCGACCAGACGGCGAGGAGGGTAGAGGAGGGGAGGGAGTCACAGCGGAAAGCGAGCCGGAGGCCCACTTGTAGTACACGTGGTCGGACTCTTCTCACAAAGGACGGGTTGCCGATTTTGCGTGCACGTCGTTGCAACCTCTCGTTCGTTTTCGCTGCTCGCGGTGTGCGATACTACTGCTTTTTCCTGCTGCTAACTTCTGCTCTGTAGACTACCGGGGTGGAGTCGCCCTCGTAAAGACGCGAACAGGAATCGATTATGTTGTGGCGATAGGCCTGGTTTCTGTTTGTTCGTCGGCGACAATCAATTGCACAACTCTCGTCTTGTTGCGAGTATCGGTCGCCCCTGAAGGTGGCCGAGGCGATCTTCAACTCCGTACCTGTTCACACGTGGAAACTTCCTTTGTGAGTCGTCCATTGTTGCTTGGCATGCACGGGATGACGTGCCCTTCTATTGTCCAGGAGTTCATCATCCGGTATCGCAGCAGTCGTGCCCCCCCCTTCTTGGGAAATAAGAGATTTGCGTTTGTCAACACTGCCACCTTGGCCACCCCACCCCGTCATATTCGACCGTAGCATAGTTTCACCTCTTGCTCGCCGGGTTTTGAAGACGTTTACCTCCGTATTATTGCCTTTTACCTCCGTATCATTGCCTTGTGCGTCCAGAATCGTACCGAAAGGTGCAAGGATCGACTTCCAGAACAGAACAAATGGGAGAGACAATAAAAAGTAAAAATAAAGGGGGCGGCCCAGGACCTTTTGTTGGGTATGGTGAGGCGAGGGTGTCGGGAGAGACCCGTTCTCGTTTGAGGTGCATCTACTGCTTTGGATCTCATCGCCAGGGTCGGTCGTGAATATTGTGCCCTCCAGAAGAGGAGGGGGACCTCTCGGGCTTTGTTTTTGCCGAGCGTCGTGTGATTAGCCGCAAAGCAGTTTTTTTGCCTGTGTTTGTTCATTCCTACGGCGAGGCTTGTTCTTCGAACAAACCCTGGCTACCCGTTGCCCCCTTTCGCCTCCGCGTGTTGCGTAATGAAAAACGTCACATTTGTCGTCCTGGTGGATACGTTTCGATGGTTTCAGCGGAATCGACCCGCTTGTGCGAAGTCACTTCGTTGTCATGAATGAATCCGATGCGCTGCGAATCAAGGAACGGGATGGTTTTGTGCGTGGGCAAATGATGCCGTTTTCCCCCCACCTTCCTCCCCAGTTTAGACCTTATTATCGCTTCGCTTGTGCTGCAATATTCCTCCTCAGGTATAACTAACTATTAATGGGCTTGCCAATCGTTGTTGTTCGATCCAGCAAGACTTCAGGCAATACAACGAGGAGAGGGGGGGGTGGCAGCGACGAGTGAAAAGACCCGAACTGTTTTTTGGCACATTTTCTTGCTGACAGGACCCTGTTTCGCTGCTTAGCAAAAACTCAACGAAACGATTAACTCATACCATTTGCACGCGATTCTTGTTCTTCACTTTATCTTGAACGTTCCTCCAGTACAGCTCAGGGTCTACAGTAGGGGGACAACAACGAGAAAACCGCGACACCAAAGAGAAAATATCACCAACATTATCTGTCCGGTTGCCATTCAGTGCGAAGCACTCGGGTAAGCACTTATGACCACCTCTCTCTCACAACAACCCTGACAGGCCTTCTTCGAGCTTTATTTGTTCGAAAAGCATACACACACGACGCACGAGTCAACGCAGAGCAATCCCGACAGCAGCTTTCTGATCACGACCTCACGTCTCATCGAAACATTTCTATCTATCTATCAGGTTGCGTTAAAATGGGCAATGAAACCGTCGGGGATCCCACTCCATCCACGATGACACACCCGCCAACACCACGCTTATATATCTCACACGCCCTTGTTGTAGGCTTACAGCACCAAGTAGACCGGGGCCATGTATAATACCACCTCACACATTTCTGCGATATAGCCTCGTGTCCTCTCCGTCACCGAAACACCTACATAACTTGAAGAACAGTCACGCTGTTGTTTTTTTTCACACACACCTTAACCTGCACTGCACGAGACCAAAAGCAGCTCTTAACCACCGAAGTACTGAATTAAGCTGAGAACGTAACACAGGAACAATACAAAAAAGGATGCCCTAGAAAAATGGTACTGCATCGCGTTTGGTTCGCACTCTTCAGGCACCCGGAGACACCCAAGAAAGCATGCTTTTCTGCACGGCCTTTAAAACCTCTCCCTCGCAAAAAATGATCATCACCTCCGGCCGCCACCCATGACTCCGGCTCGCCAAGGGAGCAGGTCACCTCGTCTCACGGGCCAAAAGCAAACATATCAGCCATGTCATCAAGACACGTGGTGACACTGGCAAGGGTATCGGCAGCAGCGGTTGCAATGACCCTGGAATTTGTTCACGAAGGGCACCTGAGGACGAATCATCTGGGGGTGGATTCCATGAACGGGGACCATCTGAGGACGAGGCAGCAACACGGGGGCCGGGGGGCATTCGACGGGGACGGGGACGAGGACGACCGGCGGCCTTACTTGCTGCTGCTGCTGCTGCTGCTGCTGCTGCTGCTGCTGCTGCTGGTGGTGATGGTGCTGCGCGTGGTGCTGCGGGTGGCGGTACTGGTGGAATTGTTCCTGGTACGGATGATGCTGTTGATGCTGTTGGTGACTGTACTGTTGCCAACCCCCGGCCTGAAACACCTGGTCGTGGCCGTCGTCCTGCAGGGCCCCGTGGTGAGAAGCATGCGGCGCAACCCGGTGCTGCTGTCGTGGTTGAGGCTGCCGTGGCTTCGGCTGCGTCTGCGGCGGGGGCCTGGGCGGCGCCGGGACATAGATCGGACGAGGATTTCTTCCTTGCTGCTCGAAGCCCATCGTGTATGGGGTTTGGATATAGTGAGAAGCACACATAACGGTCGAGGAAGAAGGTGTGTACAGAAGGGGGTCAGAGCGAAAGTAGGATTCGCCAGGACTTCGGGTGGCATGTTGGCGAAGAAGTGCGCAAAAAAGGAGTCGAAAGTACAGTTTGGTGAAGGACAACCTGACGGTGAAACCATTCCGGCTAGTTGCAAGCCATTATTCTGTCAACAACATGAGCAAAACTTGTCAGCATAACAAAGGAAGTACGTAGCACGAGGACGCGTACCGCGGCTGGATCGTGAGAAGCCCATGAATCACCCTAGCGGCTACGATGCCCTCGACCGCGTATTAATGACTGCAAACAAGCGCTGTTTCGTGTATCAAGCAATACTTATCAATCTTTACCTAAACACAGGACCGTAGTCAACATGCTCCCCTTTACAAATGTCCACAACTTTAGAAACGGACCGGCATATAAAAACTCACGGGTCTGGCATGCGCTCGCGGTACCGCCGCGGACCATCGTTCCTCAGCCACCGCGCCGCCAGGAAGCCCTCCGCCCGTGGCCATACCCTGTCCCAAATCACCCCTAGTTCTAGCAAGCTGGTTGTGAGCAGGTTTAGCCTGATGACGACGTGGTGCTGCCCCACACTTGTATGGCTTGGTGACACGACTCGGCTGGGCTCCATGCACGGCCCTCATTAACCCGAAGATGTGGAGGTCCTCTTCCGTCTCCACGACACCCTCCGCCGGTATTGTCCATTTCAACTGCACATCAGGCTATATTTATAGAGGACCAGCAAAACCAGGATGAGTTGCAAAAGTACAGCAGCAGCAAGGTGGTTGGAGATATGACGACGGCTGGGGGCACCGAGTTATGGAAGACGGTAAGGGTACATGTGTGTACGTTCGTCGTCACGTCTGTCGGGGCGAGAGTTTCCACCGATTCACATTTAATGCAACAGCCGCCCGTCCGTGTGGTCACAGAGATTTAATAGACTATATGTAGTATGTATAGTCTATGTTAGATGCGACGACACCATATTTTGCCGATGGTGATAAGCAAGTACAGGAGGTCCGTAGGTTTTTTCATAATTGCTTACGACCACAATAGGCACAGACACTCACCATGTTCTTCACAAAGAAAACCCTAACCCTGAAGCGAAGGCAAGCCGCAAAAGCGCCGAACGTGTACAGCAGCAGGTACACGGCACAGCAGTAGTCTCCATGTACTCTGTCACAGGCTAGACAAAATAAATGCTGTTGATTTTGCTGCAGGTTGTGTATGTGCACGCGCGGCAATCTGGACTAACTATTAATAGGTGCAATCGGGCGGTTGAAAAATTTCTTCAAGACTGGGCGAGCAACTTAGTCTCATTGACACCAAATGACACCCATGCGTCGAGCTTTCGATCAAACGCGTATTTGTTATTGTGCGGCAGCACCTTGCGTCCGCCCGATCGATTGATTCCCAGAAATGGAGCTCCAACACAAGAGCACGATTGAATACATCTCCTCACCTGGGCATACCCAAATGGCCTCCAGGCCAACCAGTCAGCGAGTTCCAAGCGTCCGGGGAGCTGGAAGTCGTGAATATCTGATCGCCATCGACATCGGCGGTTCATGTTGATGATCGTCAAGAACTTCCGTTGAGAGGGCTGGCCTAAAGTGTGTGGAGAGGCGACGAACGAATGAACCACCTTGTTGATCGATCACCACGAAGATCAATGGGTTGTGGGAGGAGGGAGCGTGATGTTCAGACGGACCATTTTCCGAAAAACGGGCTCCGTAGGGGAGGTGATCGTTATCCTCGCTCGCTAAAACCGTTTCTCCGAAACGACACGCCCGATGTCAGATCAAAGGGATACCAAAAAAAATACCGAAAAAAAATGAAAGGAGGCGCACCTTGGAAAGACCTATATATTTGGCGTCGTCAGGTTGTACTCATGTTCGCGCCAAAAAGAACGCCACTGGTTTTCCTGTGAAACCCCGTCATCGGGAGGACATCTTGCCTCACCAGCAGCGACAGGGAGCATCTGGCCAGCAGATAGGGATGTAGATCTGTGTATCTTCGCTCTACGAATACGAAGAAGGTGGAACGACCGTCTCTGGTGACCGGTGAGCAATAAAATCGGTAAATTTTACGTTTTGCACAATTTTGGACACCGTCGCTTCCGACAACGGTCCTCGCTCTCCGGAACCCATAGTGTGCCGCCCGCGGGAGGGTGCATGCTTTTTCAGTGGTGTTTGCACCACAGCAGTTAGTCTCGACAAAGGTTCTCGCTGCATCGAGCTTTTTTCCAGAAATGGGTACTCTACATTTTTTGAACATTTGAACTCGGTATCCTGTTGTCCCGCAGCAGCATCGTAACTGCTGCAGTATGTACAGCCCAAGGGAGAGCCACCAACGTGCGTGCCTCCCTGCCTCTCTCTGTCCTCTAAGATATTATTATATGCAAAGGACACCTCTATCCGGAACGGAAAACGATCCTCTTATGCATGGGTGCCTTCAGCAACGGGGGTTGATCCCGGTCAGACGTGGATTGCTGAATTGATCCCCCACGAATGGCACGTGTGGGTGCTGTATCTAACCACAGCGAGACGTGTAATATTTCTTGGGAAAGATAAGTACACACACCGAGAGACTACCCGTTCGAGATATATCCCAAGTATTTCTGCGACAATGTTTGCCCCAACCCTGACATACGTTTATTCGCCACGGCCTGCGGGCGTTATTGTCTTCATGTAGTCCTACTTTTTGGCCCAAAAGCACGGATTGAATGCTTTATGCTGTAGTCTATGTTTGCTTGATCAGTTTTGCTGCGTAGACTGATGCCTTGTTGTTGCCAGCCGCAGATGAGACGCACAATGTCCCTTCTTTGGAATTTCCGGACGCCTCTACCTATCAATTTTCCTTCTTTTTACCTTCGTCGAGCAAGCCCATTCGTTGATGTTTTACATTTTGCATGCGCATTCCGTCCGCTGCGCGGATGCTCAGATGTCAGACAGTGAACCCAAATCGCCCATCGCTGCAGCTGGTGCCTCACGATGACGACGAACGAGTGCGGCTGCTGTTGGGTCGGATGGTCTCCGTCGTGATGGGGTGAGACCGTCTTACGACGAAAGGACAGTATCCTGCAGCACGTGTAGGTTGGTATGCTATATCGCGCATGTGGCAGTATAGTCAACAAAAAACAATTCATCAACAAGTCATCCCTCGGGAGTGGGCTCATGAGAGCACAGCGGCAGTGTCATGAACGGGTGACGCAAGACGAAAATAGCAAGAAGCAGGACCAACCCACAACTGGATGCCAGCTTCGATGCGACTTTTCCAAGCTCAACAAAACGCACAGTTAGTTGGCGTGTTACTTCGCAAAACAAAACCCCAGCGGACCTCACCGACTTTTTGCCCAATTACAAACCTGTAAACAGGGTGTTCGTACATGTAAATCGACCTCGTACTTTGTTGGCCCAGGGTTCTGACAGTAGCGGTGATGGACAGACCCTTCAAGGTTTCCGTGACGGTGAGAGGCCTTCACCAAGTGACGGCGAGAGACGGCTCCCTCCGAAGCACAGCAGAGGTAAGATATTGAACTTGGCGTGGTTATCCTCTCTTTTTTCTTATCGTCCCTTGTGTCGGTCGGCCGCACAACTCCTAAGCAACCTCTGACTGGCCAAGCAGCCACCCCAGTACAACCCATACCTTTCGCCGCCTACATTTATCGAAGGAACTTTACTTCGAGCACCATTTGGGAGCCCGGTTAAAAACCTCTCCGTTAGAATCTGGTATTTAGCGTCCATCGCGGCCTAACCGTAAGAACTAAATGATAACCCCAGCCTCGGCCAAAATTCGAGATTCTTAAGTGCGTGCGTTAACTGTGCAAGGGAATGTCGAACAGTCACGTGTAATTTTCTTAACTCGGGATGTTCACATGGCGATATCGCCGACTCCGCTGCGTTCTGAGCAACGTGCGTACCACCACTATCCCGCCCCCGCCCCCTCCACGATACGTCTGGTGTTATGTCATCACCGTCACCGGGGTCCAGGAATATCGATTGTGATTCAGGGGCAGAAGAGGTCGAGGAGGTAGTGGACGAAGTCGACAGCGAAAGGACAAGCCAAGAAGAGACCCGACCTGATGCGTCAGAGGGCACAAAGAAAACACAACAAATCCCAGGGTGTAAGGTTGTTGGATATGGGGTCCCCTTGCGTGCAGCTTGCGTCGGGCGAATCATATTCTGATCCATGAACTTCCAGTACTACGGATGTCGAGGGGGGCTACCTCACCCCTCTCCCCAAGGCGGCCACACCTTGACCCCAACGAGATAATGCACAGTTAGCGGGCCTTGGCATGACCTGCGTGTGAAGAGCACTAGTCGATGATGCTGTATTGAAGGGCACAACTGTCAGGCGGTTTGACTTCCGTTTGACGAGCTGCCTCTATTGACGAGCTGCTTCTATTGACGAGCTGTCTCTATTGACGAGCTGTCTCTATTGACGAGCTGTCTTTACTTTATCCTATTCGCCCTGTCTTGCAGGTCTACGCGGAAGTGGCAAAGGGAGCAATTAACAGCCTTCCGACCGGGCCAGCCGAATTCTCGTCCGTTGTCGAAGACACGCTGGGAATGTGTGAGGGGTTTAGGGCTTTATTGGAGCCGCTAGTAGTCAAGTTGGACAAGATGGACCATGTGGCGAAGACGATCCTGGCACTACGGGCTTTCCTCCTCAAGATCTTGGGAGAGAGGATCGACCAGCCTCCCACCTCGGATCGGGCAGCCCAATTTACGGGGAGCCGGAGGAAGGCCCACGAGGATCAACTGCAGACATTCATTTGCAACAAAGAAATCAAGCGGTGCAAATTTCGACACGCTTAGGTTGCAGTCAATGTTGCGCACCATCGCCCCTGGGATCAAAGTAGATTCAGCGGAGGAATCGGGGGACGGTAACGGAGCCGGTATTGCCGTAGCGGCGTTTCTTCGACACAGGGGTGGGGGGCCATAGCAGAAAGGGGAGGGAATATGAAGCCTCCAACTTTCAGATATTTACGTGATTGCATGCGGGAGTAGGGTGATGTTGATGCCCCCTGGGCTACGATTGTATTTGTTTTTTCTCTTTGCCATTTAGGGTGTTTTAAGAGACGTGGAAGTCATTAGTTCACCAATCAACCAGCTTTTTGTAGCTTCGTGCACACGGATACCCCGTAGAAAGGGACTCAGCAATGTACTACATGAACGAGGTCTCTGTCGTCGGCGATGACCTTAAAGCTCTGCAGTGAACACACAAGAATATTGCAGAGGAAACCGCGTGTGCGCCACACGTGTTGTTGTTGATGTGTTTTATTTTCACATTTAAAACAACCGATTCCGCTGCTGCGGATAACTTCTGCTGTCACAAGAGCCACTACTCACAAGAAAACAACGAAGAAGAAACAATTGGCCCACACAAACACCTTGGCAAAAAAAAAAAAACAGGAAGTAGAAAGGGACCTACACACCATCACAAAGGCGACCTAGGACAAAAAAAACAAAGCAAGATGGCCAGTGCTCCCGCTCGGCGCGCGACGCCATACAAAAAAATGTAGAAAAAAGAATCAAGTGTCAAGGCAAGAGGAAAAACCAAACTCGTGAAGACATCGTTTCACCACAAGCACGCATTGGCCGCCGGGGTGGAACCGGCTGGCGTTCCCCAAGGCATGCCTTTGACAAGTATGTCTCCTTCCCCACACGGGCAAATCAACTAGACACTTATGCTACCCTGTTAGGATGATCCGAACTGGGGGTAGCTTGTCGCAAGACGTGTGTTGAATAGGGTGTCGGCAACTCGGCGAGCTCGCGCCAAGGAGGAAAGACGTGTAGGGTTTGTTGCATAAACTTCTTCTTCACATGAACTCACATGAACTTACATAAAACACTGAACGCACGCGTGCACGCACCACCATGAGGGGGCGACGCAGTATACAACAGGGGTACCTTGCACATCCTGTAAATACATTCCACGTACCACACAATCCTACAACCACTTGGCATTGCTACAAGTATATCTATCAGCCCCCCTGCTTGTGACCATGCCATGTCTTTTTCGATCCTCAACAACTCCAAAACACAAGAAAATAAAATCAGAAACTCCACTCAACTCTAGAACAATAGCCTCATTGGCTAGACATCAATAACCATCCCCGATCATACCAGTTATACTTCTTCGAACTTCAGTGAACTTGTTGCCCCCCAGCCTAGAACATCATCCATTGAGAAAAACCATAGGCAAAAATGTAAAATGTTGCCACCCCAGTTGTTTGATCACACACAAAATAAACCCGAACACCAAGATATTAATCCATACTCATCACGTAGTTACGATGAAACTCAAAATCTCCCGCGTGAAGTGCTTTCGTGAGAAAGTCAGCATGTTGATACGCCGATTCCACGTGAAAAATCGAAATCTCCTTCCTGCCTACCAGTTCCCTGATAAAGTGGTGCCTTACGTCGATGTGCTTCGAGTTACTGTTGCTTATCGGGTTTTGCGCCAACTGAATAGCCCCTTGGTTATCCTCGAACACCGGAATACATGG